GTGTACCGAGTCTCCGGCCCACGGAGAGCTCGACTGACGTAGTAGACTGGCACTTGAGCGCCCTCATCCCGGATCAGAACAGCGCTGACAGCCTCGTCGGCTGCGGAGAGGTAGAGGTAGAGCTTCTCCTTGGGCCGAGGTGAAGCGAAAGTTGGTAGGTGATGGAGGTACTGCTTCAACTGGTCGAAAGCAGCCTGACACTCCTCAGTCCCGGCGAACTGGTCAGCCTTTTTCAGCACCTTAAGGAAGGGCAGAACTTTCTCAGCAGATTGGGACAGGAAGCGGTTCAGCGCGCCCAGACGTCCATTTAGTCTTTGGACTTCTCGGAGGTTCCGAGGTGGGGACATGTCCTGAATGGCCCTGATCTTATCGGGGTTGGCCTCAATTCTCCGGCGGGAAACCAGATACCCCAAGAATTTTCCCGAGGTGAGGCCGAAGACGCACTTCTTGGGATTTACCTTCATCCTCGAGTCTCGCAGGACACCAAAGACTTCCCTCACGTCTGACAGAAAGGATGAAGTGGCGAGACTTTTGACGAGAATGTCATCCACATAGGCCTCCACATTGCGGCCGATTTGGTTTTTGAAGAGTTAGTTGATCAACCTTTGGTAGGTCGCCCCGGCGTTCTTTAGCCCGAATGGTATGGTAATGTAACAATAAGTACCTCGGTCGGTGTAGAACGCCGTTTTCTCTTGGTTATCTTCACTCATTCCTATTTGATGATACCCTTTGAAGGCATCTAGGAAGCAGAGGATCTCATATCCCATTGCCGAGTCAACGAGGGTGTCTATCCTCGGCAGAGGGTAGCAGTCTTTGGGGCAGGCCTTGTTGAGGTCGGTGAAATCCACACACATTCTCCACCCACCGATGTCCTTTTTAACCATGACTGGGTTGGACAGCTATGTGGGATATTGGACCTCATGGATCATCTTAGCTGGCAGGAGCTTGTCGACCTCATCCGATATGGCCTGACTACGTTCAGGGCCGAAGTGCCTTCGTTTCTGCCGCACAGGTCGGGCCTGTGGGTTAACGTTGACTTGGTGAATCATGAGCTCGGGTGGCACTCCCACCACTTCATCTGCGGACCACGCGAAAACGTCTCGGTGGTCCTTGATCAGGGAGATCATTTCTTCTTTCAGGGGTGAGGGGAGTCCGGCCCCTACTTGGACTACTTGTCAGGTTTCGCTTCATCCAAGACCACTTGTTCCACCTCATCCCCGGGCTCAAGCCTGTTGGGCTCTCCTGCCTTCTGAGGGTCGATGCAGTCTATGGAGAGGACCGCTGGCCTCTTTTCTTCTGACCTCGGTGAGGGCCGGGGTGTGACTGCTGCTTGAATGGTGGCGAGGTAGCATTCCCGGGCGGCGCCCACGTCGCTGCTCACCTCGGCCACCCCCTCTGACGTTGGAAACTTGAAACTCAGATGGTAGGTAGAGTACACAGCTCTCAAGGTATTGAGCGTGGGTCGGCCTATCAGCATGTTGTAAGGAGAGTTTGGTTTGACCACCGCAAAGCTGACAAGCACGGTTCGGCAGCGGGGATGGCGCCCGATAGTCACCATCAAGGTCACCATACCCTCCGAGTGGACGACGTGTCCCCCGAAGCCGACGAGGGGGGTTCTGACCGGAGTGAGTTGCTCCCGGGTCAGCTTCAAACTCTCGAAAGTTCGATAGTACAGGACATCTACCGAGCTGTCGAGGTCAACATAGACCTTTTCGACTATGTAATTGTTGGTAAGGACTTCGATCACAAGGGTCTCGTGGTTGCTGGAGACGGCGGGGACAGGGTCACGGGGACCATAGGTTATCAACTCGGATAGCCTAGAGCTCGGCTCGGCCACATCCATACCGGTCTGGCGGTATGTCCGTTTCCGAGAGTTCTGACTGTCTCCCCCCGTTGGGCCACCCGCGATCGTGTTGATCACCCCGGCGATGTTTGGGCCGTAGCCTGGCGATCCGTCGCGTGGAGGCCTCTTTTCTTCCTTACGGTCCTTGGGACCTCGGCATTGAAATTTTGTGTCCCGCCTGTCTTCTCGGCGGGGTCCTCGGCTCTCCCGGTGGGAGGCGTTTCGGTTGAAAGTTCCATCCTTGCGGACAAACTGCTTCAAGTATCCTTGGCGGATCAAGTTCTCAATTTCTCGCTTCAAATCATTGCAATCTTCGGTCTCGTGCCCAACATCTCGGTGGTAGGCACAATAGAGGTTGGAGTTCCTCCTATCCCTTCTCCCCGGGATCTCAAGAGGAGTTTGGCCGAGGTGATTTTGCCTCATCACCGCCAAGACGTGAGACCGGCTGGAATTGAGCGGTGTCAGCTCGGCGTCCGAGGTGGACGATCTGCCTTTCACTATCCGATCGAAGACACTCCGGCGGTCCCGGAACTGGTTTGAAGTGCCACTTGGGCCTGGTTCACCTCGACCGGTGTCTTTCCTCCTCCGGGGATCTTGCCCCGTACGAGATGCTTGGGCTTCTCGCTTCATGCGATTTACTTCCTCATTTCGGATTCCCTGGTCCACTCTTTCCCAGAGTTCCCGAAGTGTAGGGGGGTAATCCCGATGGATTTCGGTGTTGAAGATCCCTGCCACTAACCCATTGGTGAAGGCAGCGATGGTTACCTGCTCGTTCTGATCAGGTATCTGCACATTCTCCTCGTTGAACCTCTGAACATACGAGCGAAGTGACTCGCCCTGACCCTGTTGCAGGTTCAAGAGGTAAGCCGAAGTCTTGGTGATTGGTCGAGACGACACAAAACGGTGGATGAACCGGTCTATCAGCTCATCCAGGGAGGAAATGCTTCTCGGTTCTAAACTCCAGAACCACTTCCGGGCAGTCCCATGTAGGAAGATGGGGAAAGCGCGACAGATCACGACGTCGGGGACGCAGTAGAGCCGGAAAGCGGATATGAAGGCGCGGAGGTGATTCTCGGGGTCACCTCGACCGTCATAGGTGTGCAAGTTTGGAAGTTTAAAGTTCGGGGGCACCATTTCCCCATTGATGTCATCAGCGAAGGGCGGAGCTCTCATGTAATCAGAAACTAGGCCCCCGGGGCGCCGAGGTGGGTTCTCGGCCCGTTTCCCTAGCAGTTCTCGGGAAAACGCCCGGGAGATGGAGGCAAGTTTAGAGGTCGCCTTGGAGGAGGCGCGCCTGGAGGTACTCCGAGAGAGACGCCCCTCATCAGAGTCCTCACCTGAGGGCACTTCAGGAGACTTCGTCGGCCTCCTCTTGGAAGACTCTGCCTTTTCTTTCCCCTATCTTTTGAGGTATCTTCCTAGCTCCTCAAAGATGTTGGGGTTGTCTGATACGAACTCGACCATCTTGGTGATGGCGTCATCGTTGTTGGGCTGGGTCCTTTGGGACCCTTGTTCTTCAGAGATGCGGTCTTGCTGGGCTCCCGAGGTCTGCCCAGCCCCTGTTGAGGGAACCCTTCCGCTTCTAGAGCGCGTGGATCTCATTCTAGTAATAGTAGTCTCGTTCCCACAGACAGCGCCAATTGAAGAGGTGATTTTTGGTGGGTAGATAGACCACCCTAAATCAGTCCTCTCTGAGATGAGGGGAGGTGAATTCTTCTGTCCGAAGTGCACCTTCTTGTCCGAAGTGAGTGGCGGGGCTTCTCCCCTGTATCACTCCGACGATCAAGTTAGTATGAGAACGAGAATAATAAGAGTATAAGCAAATGAACAGTGTGCTTACTTGTTGGGAGTGTGTGAGGGATATTTATAGGAGAATAGAGGACAGGACGGAAGGCTCATGCTAGTGGGACCCACTCTCTGGCATTACGGCTCTGTCCCCTGTCAGGAGGCCTGACTCTGACACTGTAGCAGGTTGGGCAGGGTGACGGAGGATCTTGCTCAGTGGCCATTAAGTGCGTCCAGTGTGCTTTTCAGATAAAGCACACTGGTTCCGGGCGGTGTAAGGTGGGTTGATGTCATCAGCGTGCAGCCGAGGTGGAGGTGCCGATATCACCTATATGGTAGACTAGGGATCCGGCCGAGCTCAGAGGTTATGCCCAAGACACAGAAGACCTCTGATGAGGGACGAGGTAGATTCACCTCGGACATGCGGGATGACCGAGGTGAGCATCCCCACTCAGCTTTCACAATGCATTCGAAAAAAAAAACTACAAAAGCCTTCCTCAGTATTCAGAATGCATGTGGTAGATCTTTATCAAGAAGTCCAAAAAAGGGTCTAAATTCACACGTGATATGAAGATGACCAGTCCCCAAGTTGTTCATTGGTTTTCAATTCAATGTGATTAGGATTTTACAGTGATTCTTGATTGTAATACTAGTAGATGTACAGCACTTTCCTGTGATCAATTTTGGGATTTCGACAAGTGAGAGGAGCAAAAAGAAGGAAGTTACACTCTTCCCACGGTGCCTTGCGCACATCTTCAATTTGAATATGAGAACCCAAAAAACAACCACCCGGGATGTCTCCAAGTTGCAAGAGCAAGTCATTATCTTTCTAGTTTTGGCTTCACATAACATTTATTGGTGCTTAGTCTGTTCATTGTCAAACTGCAAAATTTGGGTCGGAAGCGTTACAACAAATTCTCGGTTCAATCAATTCGTAATTGCACTTGCTTCTTTGTTCATGGATTAAAAACTCTCATACTACTCTACATGCTAATCCGCCACTGACTTTAGTCTTTCATGTAAAACGATATGTTGTGGTTGTATCTCGCTCCTATTGTACTGGTGGTCAAGAGAAGTGGTGAGGAAAGAGGTCTCTGATCCCTATAAATTAGGTTCTCTTCGAATTCATGTCCCTCGGTCACTGTTTTATTGCTGCAACAGTTGATGACCAATACGTCTCTATTTCATCTCCACTTTCTTCTTCACAGATTTCTTTTTCCTCGTAAATCATGCATTGACACATGCATACATGTTATGTAGTGCCCTAAAGGATTATCATTTCATGTGGGGTTCCTAAAGTCTCTTTTAGCAGCCAATTTGTGCACTTATATATGTATGTCCTTATTCTCTTTACTTTAATGACCACATGCAGTGTTTTCATGGTCGCTACTTGCTACTGAATTCATCAGTTTGTTTAAATTTCTCTAATAGATTCTTCCAATCTTTAAAGGTGCACTATTTTCTGTCTCGTTACCACCAGGATTTGCATGTTTGTCTTACTCTTTGCTGATTTTGATCATCATTTTCTCTATTTTTGCAGGAGATTTGCTCCCCTGAATGAAGTTAGACTGAGGGTTGAGGAGAGCTGTTGACAGAAGAGAGAGAGCACAGCCCGCCATTATTGAGAATGTCGTCACTTTTTGCGGGATTGTGCTCTCTCTTCTTCTGCCAAACACAGCGCCAACTTTTCTCAACGTGGCAATCCCAGATTCCAGATCACCCTGCGCCTGCGGTTTGCTCTGAATTCCTCATCTTTGGGCATGTCTTTTTCTATCTTTGTATTGAGTCCTGACTCGAAGCAAGATCAAATTTACGCATTACTGTAGGTCTTCTAGAGAAGTCACAGAAACTATAAAGGTTCTGCAAATGTTTCACAGCTATAAAAGAAGTGAATGACTTGGAGGATCTAATAGTTTTTCTTGTGGATAATGATATGGTTGAAAAGTTGATGCTATATCTTTTGTATTTGAATGATAAATTAATCAATATGAAACAGAAATTTAGCATGAGTGTAAACAGAAATGAGCATTATTTCCCCCCTCTCACTAAAACTGAGAATAAAGTTCAGTAAATGTGTCCATAAGAACCTTTTCAGGCAACTAACTCAGTTGGATCAGTGACATTACAACGGCATGGATTTGCAAAACGTTGCATAATCTGATAATGCTTTGGTGGTGGAACCGGCAACTCTGGACTCCAACAAGTAACCAGCTGTCAATGGAGTATTAAACATAGAGATGCTGCCAAACAAAGTAAAAAAAAAAGAAAGGGCTTCTGCTGGTTAGTCCTTGTTTTTCTTGATTGATGCAAGCCAAGAATCTTGTTACAGGCATGATCTGAATCCTATGGAGTTCTTGTTTCTCCTTACAGGGATAACAAAAGTGTTGTCAGAAAAGCGGTCTCTCAAAAGAAGTTTCATACCAACCATGTTCGAGTTACCCAAGATGAACAAGAAGGAAAGCTTCTGCAGAAAAAGAGTGAGTTGGTTTGAAAAAGAATGCAGCAGAAGTTGTCGATTGATACCGTGCTACCAAGTACCAAGTAGTGGAGTACCTCAAATCTTTGTGCGTGTATTCTTTAATTATGACTAAATTCAAGTGGATTCCAGCTTATTCCTTGTGAATGGATGAACTAAGATTTAATTCTTATGGTCTAAATTTTTTCCTATTCAAACATTCTTTTGAATGGGCGATATCAACCTAGACAGAAGCTGGGATAAAAGGAATGAGTGAGCACATGAATAGAACAATTGCTAGCCAGCCAAGTGTGGGTTACTTACTTCAATATCGAGGTTTTTGTTCAAGAAAAAAAAAATTGCTACTCTTATTCGGTTTCGGCTTATGAAAACTGAAAAGTTCGTAATGAAGTTACATGACCCAAAATGTTCGCCAACCAGATGAGAAACAAGAAATCAAACAGCACAAATTGTTGAATTAATTGGAAATTAAGCGTGCAATGGACGCAGAAGGTGCTCTTTAGTGTCTGAATTAGCAAGAAATCAAACAGCATAAATTGCTGAATTAGTGTCTGAAGTCTGAACCCTTTGGTATTCAAAGTGGGGTTCCTTCAGGAAGCCCAATCCCAAAGATTCTTTACGTTCGAAACAAGCATTAGCAAAAAAACATTCGGTGAATTTCCCCTCAAATTCAACGTTTCCAACAGTTTATCACGTGGGAACATAACCAAGCCCTCAGCTTCAACAGTCACCTGAGTACTATCTGCAGCACCCAGACTATTCCATGCACATTATTGCATGAAAACCGGACATACTAAAAAAAAAAAAAAAGAGGCATTTTCTTAACACATAAAAAAAACAGCAAAGAAACAATCACAGGACGAAAGACACGGGTATCGGAGTAATGTCAATATTGGGCAAGTGTCTTCGCATGCAATTCTAATATCTTCGGGAGACTGCACAACATAGCAGAGTTCAATGGAATGACTTTGAACTCGAAATTTTACTTCAGAGTGCTAAAAAGAAACATTGGACTAAGAATACAAGTGAGCCTAACAGGTGTGGGGGGAAAGAAAGAATCAAAGAATCCAAGACGCAAATCCACAAGAATATGACCTCTGGCTTCAGTCAACTACTATCTCAAATCGAGAGTCAGGGGTATTGCCTCCATCATCATCTGAAATAATATCATCTATGCTCAGTGGCAAGCTATTACAGAAAGTGAGGCTAGGTTTCACCCTTGGCACTGAAATAGGCTCTGCTTCATTGTTGAGAATCTGGAAGACCCTCCTCATGGTAGGCCTTTCTGCACTATCTGGATTTGCACAGCTCAAACCGATAAGCAGCAGTTTCCTCATTTCCTCATCTCTGAACTCACCATTTAATCTTTTATCTGCTGCTTCTGTAAGCTTTCCTTCAGAGTACAGCTTCCAAACCCAATCAATCAGATTGATCATTTTGTTGGCACTACCTTCTTTCTCAATTGGCCTTTTTCCGCAAGCTAGTTCAAGTATAACCACACCATAACTGAATACATCAGTTTTATCAGTTGCTTTTCCGTATTGAAGGTACTCAGGAGCAAGGTATCCCATGGTTCCGGCAGTAAGTGTTGAAAGAGGACTCTTATCATGATCCATGAGTCTTGCCAATCCGAAATCCCCAAGCCTTGCATTATAGCTCCCATCAAGCATTATGTTACTGGTTTTTATGTCCCTATGGATCACTTGCTGCTCGCATTCTTGATGCAAATAGGTGAGAACAGATGCCAGTCCAACAGCAATATTGTACCTGTATGGCCATTTCAGTGGATTGCCATTGTCGGTTTCTTGGTGCAACACTTTATCAAGACTTCCATTGGCCATAAACTCATATACGAGAAGTAATTCTCCCTTCTCAACGCACCATCCCTGCAGCTGAACCAGGTTCTTATGCCTCAAACAAGCAATGATTGACAATTCAGCAAGAAATTCAGATTTACCTTCATGGGTATGTTTTGATCTTTTAACGGCAAAAACGGCACCGGAATTTACGAAAAAGGCCTTGTAAACAGTACCAAAGGAACCATGCCCAATGACCCTATTGGCATGAAATCCTTTTGTGGCTGACTTGAGTTCTTGATAGCTGAATTGCCTTGGTCCTGTCACAAGCTCTGCTTTCAGGGTCTTCTCTGTTTTGTTCTCCTTCCATTTGTTGACAGAAATCCACCCAAATACTACAAGAACAGCACAAAAGAAAGCAGGACCAGCAATCCCAAAGCCCAACCCAAGCCTCCTGTGATGCCTATTGCCAGGATCAGAAACTGGGATTGGGGGATTTAAAGGCACAGAATTTTCAGTGACGTTATGAGGATGAATTCTTGGTCGTACAGGCCTAAAGCCCCGAGTCCGAAAGCTCCAATTTTCAATAAAGTGCAGCTCGGTACTTCCCTCAGTGGAACCAGAAAATCCCAAATACATAAAGTCCTTGAGATAACCAGACAGGTCAATATCAACCTTCAGGAGCGGCACCCCAGGCTTGAAACTTGAATAACTCAAGAACACATCTAGCTTCTTTTCCTCATTCTTGTAATCAATCCAAGTAAAAATCAAGTTCCCACTTTTCAACGAAATACCCAGAGAAGCTGGATTGGCAGTCTTTATTGAGATCAGGCTATCGATATCCAAACCCACGTGATTATCATCAGGATCGTCAAAATGAGAATCTAGTTTTGTATCAAACTCGATGGCAATGAACCTGTTCTTCGTCAACTGTGTTGAATTCACAAGCCCCAGATACCCTCCTGGGCTCCCTAAAGTCTGATTATCAGGAGACAGAAAGAAGGTTAATCCATCTCCAGACGAAGAGGGATTGATGTTTTGAATCGAAAAAGCAAATCTTGTGGAGAAAGAGGCAGTGATGTTGGTTTCTGGATCAAAGAAGGCAATTGGGTTATTGTAGATTACAGAACCAGAGCTTGAAGATGGGACGCCAAGCTCTTTTGTCAGCCCTACAACACCATTTCTGAGATAAGAATCTCCAAGAAGAGTGAGATTTCTGAGAGCTAAAGATTGGAAGTCGAAATTCAGAGTAGTCCCGGAAGATGATGACGGTAGCGGTTGAATGTATTCGAAGTTGAAGAACAGAAAGAAAATTGAGAAAATAAGAAGCTTTCTTGAATACATTGTTGGATATCAATCTCATGTTCTGGAAAAATGGATTCTTGAAGGTTTGTTTGAGCTCATGAGGGCGGAGAATGGAGTTTCTTGAAGAGGTAAAGGTTGGATTTTTCTTCAAAATTTTATGAGGGAAAGGTAAGGAGAAAACTGAAAAGGAAGGGGAGCTGTGGCGTGGTGGTGGTGGTGGTGGTGGTGGTGGGAAATGGGGGAATCTTGGCTTGGGTGGGAAAATGGGGTTTAAACGGTTATGAAAAGTGGGCGCGTGGGTCCGACTTTAAAGAAGAAGGGAAAAAAAAACAATTTCACTAAAAAAAATATAAAGAAAAGGTGGGAGGGATTAAAATTTAAAAGTCTTTTATCCAAATCTTTAAAGTCTTGATGGGCCGAATCTGTAACGGTAATATAGGAAGGCTGGCTTTGGGAGCGGACAGATAAACGACCACTTCATTTGGACTTCAGTACTGATCACAGTTGTCGGTTAAGTAAGTTGCTGAGCTGCTGATGGTGATTGATAAAATACCAGTAAAGCACACCAGGCACTATCCCCCCCCCCCCACCCCCCAAAAATGCTTATACTATATATGAATTAATTGCGGTCAAAGAGGGATTTGAACTTCAATCGCATGGATATAGACTTTATAAAATTATGAAATATTGTGCAATTTTTTTAAATTTTTAGTACAACTAAAGGTAGCATGTGTTGAGATATATTTACTAAAATGCCTTCATTTTGGTACATTTAAAACTTTAATTAATGGAGACATCTGAGTATTTTTAGAATATGAAAGTATTTTGCAACTGTTTTTGTACAAAGTATAACTGATATAAGTTTATATATTGGTGTAATTACCGAAATGATGTTATAGACATATTTAATTGAAATGTGGCTTTTGTTGTACAATTAATACAAAGACATATTAACACATTGTGCAATTAACTCATTGCTATAACTAACCGTTGGAGGGTATTCTTTTATTTGAAACAACTTATGTATACTCTTGGGTAATTTTCAATTGACATCTGTAGGGGTCTTTTGAAAATAGTAAAATTGTAAAAACATTGATAAAGCAAAATGTAAAAGTTTATGCTGCAATTAGAATGTACTGTTATTAGTTTTGTCATATTCGATAACTATCTCTTTTCAAAATGTGCTATTATTTATCTAATTAAAAATTTTCTTTAACCACAGGGATCATATAAGTTTCTCGCTCGCTCGCTCCCTCCCTGTCTCGGAGTCAATCTAGGGCGCATGATTTGGTGGATATATATTAAGTGCCTTTGATTGGATTTAGCTCGTACGCATTCTCATGTGATATTTTAACAAGTCCCAAAAGCGTAAAAATCTGTCCCTGCAATTTCAATTCAACCATGGCAGGAAACAGGACAGCCGGCCACTGCCTCTCTTTGGAATCAAGTCATCAACTATGGAGTTGGATTCGGAACTGGGTCCACTCCGTTTATGTCAATATGACATTGAGGGCGCGCCCACAAAATTTTCAATTAAGCCGTTATTCAGTGGGCCCTGGTTTGACCACTGGGTCATTTGACTAACTAGATGGTCATGGTCGTTAAAAAAAAAAACTCAAAATTGGAAAACTGCAGTACATTAATTGGTTGACAGGAAATACACTACTAAAGTTTCTTTCTGACTCAAGTACAGGGCGTGCATCTTCGTCATCCGCATGAAACTCTAGACAAAAAGAAACTTGCAACTTCCAGTTTGTTAAAATTAGTATGTAAAGTAATGCATATTCTCCTGAGAAGGAAATAACTAGCAACATTTGCAGAAAAATGTTAGGCCACTCAAGCGTCCTTCAGTGTAAACTAATATGTGCGTTTATGGAGAAATAGACTGCATCTACATCAGGCTCACTAGAGACATTATTATTAAATTTGAACCAAAATCTGTTTCATTCCACTTAGCTCACAAACAATACTAAACAATCTAATAATCTTATTAAAGAGAGGAAAGATTCTCGAGAAAGGATACTTAGCCTACTTTTTTATACTTCCAAATTCGCATTGGAATTGCTCACTGTCACGAGCTTTGGAAATTGAAATATAAGTGACACTAGAAAAGAGCG